AGCTCCTGTCTGTGTGGGCTGTTCCTTATGACTGCTTGAGCTTCCTCATAGCATGATGGCTATGTCCCAAGGGCATATATTCCAAAAGATGAGAGGAGAGGCTGCCAATAGCCCAGTCACTCAAGCCTGGTCCTTAAATGGGCATGATGTCACATATAGATTCAAGGACTGGGAACACACACCCTACTTCTCACGGGGAGATGAGAATACAGTAAGTTCCCCACTTATGAATGAGTTCCATTCTGGGAGAATGTTCATAAGTTGAATTTGTTTGTAAGTCTGACAAAGTGAGTCTTATGCACATTTCACACAAATATACAATATAAAGCATAAAAAAACCAAATGCACCCCAAAATACAATAAGTCCCTGACTGTACTACTGTTATGGGGTAGCCTGCTTCTAACAGTGGTTCCTCAGTTAAATGTTACCGGGTTCTGGGTTGCTTGCCTCTTCTTCTGGAGTTAGATTGCAAGTTCTTCTTGTCTCAAAGAAGTGGATGAGACAAGCCAAAAATGGTGCCAAAAGTTTATGAAAAGTGAGGGATGAAGGGGTATGGGAGAAACCAGCTTTGCAGAATGAACTTGGGCAGAACAAGAGAAAAAGAATACAAAAGCAAAAATAAACGTACATGTTGTGTCTGGGAAATGCAGTATGGGCTACTGTGAGAAGTTACAATAGCAAGCTCTTCATGCTGTCTGTGTCCTTTTATACTCTGACCAAATCTCGAGAAAATCTGTGAAAATTTTACATATGTGTCCTGAGAGGTGGTGCTGGGATCCCACACCTCAGGCTAATGTCAGGTGTAGCCCATCCTACTGAAAACCTGCCTGGGTTTTCACTAGAAGTCCACATGCAGGGCTTTGGGAACTGTCACAAGTCATGCCTACTTCCCCAGCCAGCTTTGCCACATCCTAATCTCCTATATCACTACTCTACACTATTGCACATTACAGTAAGCACACAGCAGGGCAACTCTGACAATGTCCAGCAGACATGGGAGCTACTTCCATGATTTGTTCACATCTATGAATGTTCATAATGCTAGCTCCATTCATACTTATGCAAGTTTGCAACTCAAATATTTGTAAGTTGGGGACTTACTGTACAGATTTTAGCTACCACATCATATTTGTTCAAGTAGTGTCAATTCTGCTATATTTCTCAATTGCTGCATTTATCTCCTTATATTATAGAGACTATCCTGTGTGTTCCTTGGGGCGGGGGTCATGCCTTATACATCTTGGTGAAACATACTGCCTATCTGAGCATAGTCAATGTTTCATAAATGCTGAAGGAAGGAATGAAAGAGAACTGAGTCCCAGTCCTGGCTCTGTGTTAAGCACCTTTGGCAGCCAGAGTAGGACCCTGAACTACTCTGGGCCTTGGAATTAAATGATCCTTAAAATCTCTTCTTGTTTTTTTTTTTTAAGAGCTACCATTGTAAGAGTCTTCTTAAGCTGTTATGCTAAAATACCATAAACCCTGTAGGGGGTTTAAACAACAGACATATATTTGTCACAGTTCTGGAGGCTGGAAGTCCAAGGCCCAGGTGCTGCTCAGTTTGGTTCCTGATGGGGAGGGGTCCTCTTCCTTGCTTACAGATGGCTGTCTTCTTGCTGTGTCTTCACATGACATCGGGGAGGGCCAGAGATCTGGTATCTCTCTTCTTGTAAGGCTTGTAACTCTGTCATGAGGACTCTACCCTCATGACCTTATCTGAGCTTAACTACTCTCAAAAGCCTCACCTCATAGTGTCATCACATTGAGGTTTGGAATTTTAACATATGAATTTGGGAGGAGGCCTACAGCAGCCATTCTACTCATCTATTCAGGATCATTAGTTATAAAACAAAGGAAGCCCAAATGCAAGTCTCAAAAGAGAGGAGTGCAGGAATCAAGATATCCGAGAGTAAAATTACAGGAAATGGACTGTTCTGCACACAGTGTAAAGTCTCTAGAAAGAAAATATGAACATTAAATTCAGACACAAATGCTTAAATTATAGTGATAGTGTTTATAATAGGAATGAAATGAAAAGAGGCATTTTAAGGGGGTGAAGACTGGGGACTATTTGGTCACAAGTGGTGAAAGTAATGGAGAGGACTCTAAGTCTTGTACCCAAGTGGCAGGGAAATGAAAATTTATGTAGCATCAGTAGTGGACCAAACTCTCACTACATATAGAATTACCTGGATGCCTCGGTCCCTCTCAGTGTAGAATTTCTGGAAATGGAGCTTGGAACATCAGTGTTTTCCAGAGCTCTCCAGGCGATTCTACTGTGCAGCCATGGTTGACACTATTGTGTCTAGAGTTAAAGGCATGAGATTTATGGTGGTTATCAAATTACAAAAAAAACTGAGGAGGAAAATGTGACTGACAGCCACCAAATAACTTAGGGCATGGTATGCAGAATAATGGCCTTCCAAAGATGTTTACAATCTAGTCTTCAGAGCCTATGAATATATTATCTACATGGAAAAGGAGAATTAAAGTTGCAAGTGGAATTAAGGTTGATACTCAACTGACCATAAAATAGGAAGGTTAACACAAATTATCCAAATAGGCTTAAAAGGGTCCTTCAAATGTAGAAGAAAAAAGCTGAGAGAGTAGTCAGAAATGCAATGTTGCTGGCTTTGAAAATGAAGAAAGGAGTCACAAGTCAAGGAATGTGAGCAGCTTCTGGAAGCTGGAGAAGACAGAATGGATTGCCCACTTAGAGCCTCCAGAAAAGAATGCAGCCCTGTAGATACTTGGACTTTAGTGCAGAGAGACCTGTGGACTTTTGACCAATGGAAATATGGGATGATAACTTGTATTATTTTAAGCTACTGAATTTGTGGGAATTTTTTATAAGCGTCCCAGGAAACTAAAATAGATGCTCAGATCAGAAAAGCTTCATTGAGGAGGTAACTTTAGGTAAACTTTTGAAGGGATATCATTGGTGGAGAAAAAGTAGGGAAGATGTTGAAATTCAAGATCGTCAGCAAAAAAACTTTTAAATTCAAGGATATGTAATATCAAGAATGTTTATAATTAAAAACAGAGGAATAAAACAGTATTATGAGATTGTCATTAAATTCTCCAATGAATTCATAGGGAAAGAATGCTCAGGAAGTTTTCTCAGGATTTTTACTTGAATTATTTTGCCCCTTTACTGACTTAAAGGCTGACAAAACCCTTGTTTTACCTGGATGGTTTTAAATTACTTAAGTCAGCAAAGAAATCAGCTAGGATCTGCAACTTCCGTATAGTTCTTCACTGGAATGTAACCTGGGGCATAATATTCCTATCACTTCCTTTAATCAGATCTGTAGACTCTGCTGATTTTTCATTAGTTTCTCAATTAAAATATAATTGGATTGTGAAGCAGGTAGATATACCACATAGAAAGACAGACAATGACAGGTAGAAACAGAGTCAGAAGGCAAAGAACCTCCATATTTACATTTCTTCATTAACATATGTTCATTGAGGATCTATAGCTGACACGGACATATATACTCTTTGAGGGATCCATCAATGAATGAGCTAGGCAAGGTCCCTGTTCTCACAAAGCTCATAGACTGGTGGAACATACAGGCAAGTAACTGGGTATTTTATAGCACAGTAAAAAGTGTAAGTTGCTATAAGAAGAAAACGTGGATGGGAGTGGAAAGGGAGGAGTGCATCAGGGAAGGCTTCCTGGAGAAAAAGTTCTAACCTACTCATTCTCAAATTGTGGTACCTGGGTCTGCAGCATCAGCAAACCTTGGGAGATGGTTAGACAATAACATTCGCAAGACCCTTAAGCTAGATATATAAAGCCTGAAATTCTGGGATGAGGCATAAAAACCCATGTTTTTATTAAATGATCCAGAAACATGCTAAATTTCATTGAGAACTAGAGCCTAACACCTGGGCTGCTCAGATTGATGCTGTCACCTCTCACTCAGAGATACTGATTTAATTGGACTGGGGTAAAAGCCTGGAATTGGTATTTAAAGCATCATGTTTTTGTGATGTGTTTTTAATGTGCAGCCCGGCTTGAGACCACTTCTTAATGCTGACAGCTGGAGCATAAGTTAGTCAAAGCCTGAGGGCTGAGGAGAGGTCAAGCGGCTTCTTACAGGCAGATATGCAAAGGCCTAGTTGTAGGAAGGAGTCCCGGTAAGGCCAGTGAAGGCATACAACAAATCCCCACAGTTTAAAATAGGTTGAGAGCTGCAGATTTAAGTATTGTTTTGCAGTGCATCATAAACTTTAATGTTTATAGACATCATCCGAGGATCTTGTGGAAACCCAGACACTTACTAAGTACTTTAGGGGAGGGGGACCGAGAGTATGTATTGCTAGCAAGCTTGGTGACATGATGTCGCTGGTCTGCGAACCACGCTTTGAGTAGCAAGGTTCTATTACCTTAGCTTTCCCTGAGCGTACACATCGGAGAGTGCATGGGGACCGCAGGAGGGTGCAGCTACGCATTAGCCCCAGAGCCATCCGTTTGGAGTGAACTGCGGAGGTCCTTAGCTGGATGGGTGTGTTCTGAGGGTAGGAAGGAAAGATGCTGCCTAGCACAATCCCGCCCTCCCAGCTCTTCCGATTAGTATCTATCAAGGTCGTACTGCTTTTAGCTCAACAGTACCTCCCCTCCCCACCCCCGCGCCAATCTAGCTGAGTGTGTCTCCAGCCCGGCCAGCAGACCAGCTCCTGAAGTGACCGCCTAAGCTCTCTGGGCCCTGCCAGCCAGCCAGGGAGGCGCTGGCCGGGGAGGGGACTCTCCTGGGGGCGTCTCCCTCGTCCCACCTGCCCTCGCGGAGAGCGGCGGTGCCTGCGGCAGAACCTCCCTCTGCAGCGGCTCCTGGCACTCGGCGGGCACTTCTGGGCGCTGTCCACGGTTGCGGCATCTCTCGGCGCGCCAGTCAGGAGGCCGCAGCGGGGCCCGCGATTGGCCGAGGCGCCCCTCGCCAGCCCCCAGCCTCCCGCCCCCGCACCTCGGTCCCCCAGGCGCTCGGCGACGAGCTTGCGGGCAGCCCCGGCGCGCCCGAGCGGCACACCCACTCTCCTTATTAGGACAGACTCGGAGCCCGGCGGGCGGCGGCTCGAGGAGGTGGGGCGGGAGCCCAGGGACGAGCTAGCCCAGGGCGCAGGCTCAGCCTCAGCCGCTTCCGAGCGCCGGAGGGAGCAGCCGGTCTCTGCGCTCGGCCACCTTGCAGCGACCCTGCCGCGGTCCCGGGCCCGCGATCTTCCTCCCCAACCCCTGCCCCCAAACTCGGGTCCAAACCACTTGCAAAGAAATGGAAGAATTTTTGCAGCGCGCCAAGTCTAAGCTGGTAAGTTGAGAGGGCAAGGCCGTGCGTGCGTGTGTGTGCGCGTGTGTGCGCGTGGGTGCGTGTGTCTGCGCCCGTGCCGATGAAAAGAGGGAGAAGAACGGTATTGCAATGGAAGAGGAAGAAACAACTTTGCCGTTCAGTTGTCAGAGTGTGCGGGCTGGCCCCAGGACCCAAGTCTCTGCCGCTCCCGCCTGCATGCAGTCCTCTGCTCAGTCCTCCAGCCACGGCCAGAGCGTGCAGAGCGGGGTGTGGTAGGGACCTGGCGAAGGTGGTTCGCACCAGTCGGCTCTGGCCCCTTTGGCCTGGCGTTTAGAAAAGGGGAATTCAGCCCAAATTATAGTTAGCTCCCCAAGGATAGGGAACGGCTGGGCGTGGTCCTTCTTGAGAAAAAGAGTCCAGCTTTCTGCGTATGTAGCACCTATAGGTGAAAAAAATCTGCAAGGGTGTTTTGGAGGCAGCAAACCCTAGGTGAGAAGGTCAGGGTGTTGGGTAGGGTGGATGCGTGGGAAACATTTAGTTCATCTGAGCAACCCCGAATTTTACTTGCTCCCAGGTGTATTGTGTCACATCTATAAACTGGGCCAGGGGAAGAAGGGGCAGAGGCCCAACTGTTGCTGGTGATGTAGGATTCGCCATGCCCTTGTTCTCCTGGGAGGAGAGCAGCATGTGTGGCGTACGTTTTACTGTATCACCATCCAAACAGGGCATGGTGATTTTAGTGTGTATGGTGACAGTTCCTACGCCTTCTGGAGAAACAGACTCTAGCGGTTTCCTAAATACAAACTGCTTTGGCCCTCCAACATAGGAGTAATAGAGGTAATGGAAATGCTTCCTTTTTGGCACTTAAAAAAAAGTCTGTGCCCAGTTACAGGTAATATCTCTAATGAACAGTGAAGGCTCTTTTTACGGGGCTGGCATAAAAGGCAATGCATAATTTATGATGCCTTTCACCTTTCAAACTTTCACTGAAGCCAAAACTTAAAGTCTGCTTTTAAGGTGATGTCTCAATTACAAGGCAGGATACTTACAAGGTTATTACTGTAACTAATTTACCCTTGCACTACAAAGGTAACTTGGGAAGGGAGGGCCTGAAGATACCCAAACCTCCAGTCAGAGTGCAGCCGGAAGTGGGGTTCTTATAGTGATCTAATTGTAAGTGTCCTTTAAAGGACCATTAGGGTTGATTGATGCTGTGTAAGTACTTTGCTTTTTACCATCAGCCACCCAGAGAGTTGAATGTTCGTGGAGATTTCAGAATTGAGAAAGTTTGTGATCATCTCTGTGTTTATTGACCTTCGGTAGTTTTACTAGAGCTCAGGGAACAAAAATATTTATTATAGAAACTCAGTAAGTATTTTGCATGTCTGATGACTTAAGTGTTCATTCTGTTCTGCAGCCAGCAATGGGTAAGAAGTGTTCAAAAATTTGCATCAATTCTGGCTCTATGTGTATGTATGTGTAGACGAAAATGAATGGTGATCAAGAATAGATACAGAGTTTTGGACTGCACCTCTGTTCCACCCTCAATGCATTCGTTTTACCAACATTTTAACAGGAAACATTTATTTAGGTTCTTGGTTCTGATGTGAGGAAGAGGTTTGCCTCATTTCTGAAGAGCAATTGCTGGGATGAAAATTCCCTATTTCAGAGTAATCAGTTGAAAGTAATGTGTAATTTATTTACCGAGTCCCTTCATTAGATGAGCAATTGCTGTACATCATTAAAAAAAAAAAAGACAGAGAAAAGAACCAGTTGTTTGAAATTCTATTACCAGTTTCCTGTCTTGGCCAGGAGAACAATTATAATGGTTTTTCTCTTTTCTTGAAGTAGGTTTTGGGCTAGAAATCAGCTATGGCAAAGGTGTTTCGGTCACTTTTAGTCACACATTCTCCTGATAAATATTTTAGGTAATAAAATTTTTATTTAACATGCAATGCTCACACACAGTAGTAGTAAGATTTTACTTTAGAGGATAATCTTTTCCTTGTAGAAAAATTTTAATAATTATATCATTAATTGGTGAGAGGTTTAGTCATAGTAGAATGGTAGGATTTAAAAAAATTTTAGTAGTTCTTTGGAAAACATTTTTTTTTTTTGGTACTGGGGATTGAACTCGGGTCCTTGCATTTGCGAGGCAGGCTGCGAAATCACTGAGCTAAATCCTTGGCCTTTTGGAAAACATTTTAAGAGATGTTTATTGGGCTGATTTTCACACTTATCCTTGTTAGAACTAGAATTAAAATTTAGAAATTATTAGCAGTTTTCTATCAGAAGTACATAGATTTATCTAGATGATATCTTAAAAAATGCCAAGTGCCAGGACCCCAACCCCTACACTGGGTAGTCTGGCTGCAGAGCCCCCCTGCATGTCCAAACACCACCAGCTACGCAGCTCAAACAGCTGCTAATGGGTGGGGAGCGCTGCGGCCCACATACCATAAGAGGTAGGTCATGGGCCAGCCTTGAAGGGGGCTGTCAGCTGCCACTAGAAGGATACAGGACACATCCATGTCCCAGGAATGCTGTTTTCAAAGGGAAAGTGAGCAGAGAGTCATCACTGCAGTCCAGGGGACACATCTGCCACTTCAGCAGTGACAGCTGTAGGTGAAGGGCTCCAATCTGCAGTGGGTAGTCAATACTTGGACTTCTATAGAAGAAATATTCTGGGTGACTTAAATGTCAACTTATGCTCTGTGGTATGTGACATAAGGACAAGAATGCACATTCATAACTAAAATGAACAACTGAATTTGAGTGGATATAGGATATGCAGTTTAAAAGAAAAGAAAGAAAACCACTGCAGCATGTCTGCAGAATAATCATCTTGATTGGAAAGAGGAGGAATGTATCCTTCCCGACTTCCTATATTGAAAGAAGGTGCATGTCAATAAAAAAGATGTTTTACAGGTACCTTTTAAAGAGCCACTGTGGGAAGAACTAATAGTGGAGAAACTGCAAAGCAGTTTCTTTTGAGCAGCTGAGCTCATTCTAATCAGAGACCAGGAGATCCACTCGTCCCTCTGGAAACCAGGGGCCATACTTGAGAGTCAGTGCTTCCTGCCAGTATTTATGAGCAGGAAACTCAGGAATCCCAAGCACTTCTGCAAGTGTGGTGTCACTCAGAAGGGGCCAGTGAGGAGTGAGCCCATGATTGCGTTAGTCCTGAAGTCAGCTCAATTTCTCACTGCCAAAGTATCCAGACCAGCAGCTGAGAATTGGCCCAGCCCCAGGGACTTTGCAAAAGCACCAAACTTTTTCATTTCAAGAGATCTCAGAGAGGATTGGTCCATCTACAAGGAAAAGACGTGCTCACTGTCATCCAGGTAACAGCTTGGGTCTTGAAGCACATATGATCAAATGAGCAGGGACATTCTCTAGTCTGTCATTTGGGGAATATTTTATTGTTATCTAAGTAAAAAGGTGACAACTTTGATATAACCTGTTTGTCTCTGTGTAGCATTTATTAGAGCAGATAATGACATCATTGTGGGTTTGGTGTATAAATCTTGATGCTTTTGCAAGCAATGGTGACTTGGGGGTGGACGCTTTATTCTCCTCTTGTATACCTTTCCTTGGAGTGCTACCGGAACAGCGAAAAAATGAAGAAGGGACAGCTAGCTGGGTTTGAATGAAGGTTACTAAACGGGGTGACTGATTTTTCTTGAACCCTGGGATTATGAGGAGAGTCACCGAGTTTAGTCCTTTTTGAAAGGAAACTGTGGAGGGGCAAGGCTTTTGTATTTAGGAAGTAACATTCACATGGACTTTAATATGAAGGACACTCTCTGGGTTTGTTCAGAATACAACCTGCACAGTCATATGTGGCTGCCCTGCCAGAGGTAACAAAGTAGCCTACCCCAAATCTCTGGCATCATCTCAAATCCATTTCTTTCTGCACCCTCTGGCTTTGGGCTTTGGTCTCTAGGGAAGGGTGATCTTCCTGAAAGCTCTTGTGAGGGCCTCTAGATTGTCCTGAAAAGTCAGATCCACAAAGTCTGGGTTAGAAATATTAAACTGTTAATGGGTCTTTAATCTGAAAAATGGTGCTTATTTTGCAGATGCATTGTAAAGCCACACTGATACATCCATAGCCCTTTGCACAGAACTTGGAACAATGGCTGGTCTTTCCACTTGCCCCAAGCTGGTCTCTTCTGAAGGTCCTTACCTTACAATGTAACTCATGGAGTTTCTCCAACTGAGAACTTTCTTCATCATGCTTTTCCTTACCCTCTGCATCCCAGGGTCACTGAGCCACCAGGTGATTACAGTGCTTGGGACACAGGTCTCCTGCAAACCGCTCTCACACTGCTGGCAGGGAGAGTGAGAGTATCAAGCACTCAGTGTTGAAAGCGTCTTTCTTACCTCTCCCACCCTCCCTAAAACTTCATGATCATTTCCTACTACTCTTAGGAGAATGGGGGACGCTGTTAGTCTGACCCTGCTCTTCAGCTTCTTCTGACTTCTCCTCCTTCTCCCCTTGGCTTAAATAATTCACATCTCTTCTTCAAACAAAGTGAAGACAGGAAGGTTCTGCTAAGTGAACCCTTCCTAGCTGGCCCTAACTACTATCCTGTATCTAAGTAAAGTTTTTAAATCCAGTTTTTAGATAATTTAATCTTAGTTTGTTATTATGTCCCTGTTGGGCATGGCAATTTGATGAGAGTAGGGACCTCTCTGTGTGGTTTTTTTTATTATTTTATCAGCAGGGTCTGGTGAAAGCTTGATGCTCATTAAGTATATTTAGAATAAATGAAGGCATAAAGCAAGAGTCGTGTGCACAGCATGGCAGGATGTAGTGGCCCAATAAAAATGAATACCTGGGTGGTCAGAATCTTGGAGATCTGAATCAAAAGCAGGACTAGTGGCAGCATATAGGATGCCAAGCTGGTTTGCTAGAAGGTATAAAACATTGAGGTCAAGGAGCACGCTGTATTTCTTTGCAAATGGTATGCATGTAATACAAGATTGTAATACAAGATGTCTTATCAAAGTAAGGAGTC